CCTAACCTCATCTTTGGGAACCAAACGTGCAACAGCAGAAAACAATTCAAGAGCCACTTTGAATTCCAACTCTGCGATCTTATTCTTGATCATCTCTCTCAATTCCGGGCGATGCAGTTCAGCTTTTGCTGGAACCGCTTTCGGCATTGCAGGGACACAAAATTTCGGTCTATCCTTTGGAATGACCTCCCATCTTGACACACTAGGCTCACCTGAGGGGCTAGGGTTTACCCGAAGCTTTCTTGCAGTTGCAACCGCACCTTTCTTCTTCTTCGGACCCTTTGATGCTGAGCTTGATGCAGCACCACCGCTGCCCACAGCCATCTTTTCAGCCTCCTCCTCGACAAGCTTTTGCCTATCCTTCGGACTAAGCATTTTCCAAAAATCCGATGGGATCGACTCAGGGCGTTTTGACCCTTTGTACGTTTTCACAAGGCGTGTGCCGTCCCAATGATAACCATCCGGGATTGGTGTACCAGTTGGAGTATACTTGATATCAGGAAAAACTGGTTCTTCAGCCGGCCTTTCATTACTGGCAAGTGCGTCAAGCACTGCCTCCGTTGACTTGTCAATTGCTACTTCACTTGCTTCTGCATGTTCCTCTGTTTGCAGTTCGGATTGAAACGGAATCGGACGAGGATCAGCAATGACGTTGTCAACTAGGCGGTCCGGCTTGGGCCCTTTGGCCTCTTTCAATGCACGGAGTGGGAAGACAAAACCTCCCGCGATGAGCTCAACACGTCGTGCTCGCTGCACTGTGATGCTGCCAGTTTCTGCATGGTAATCCAATGCCTCTAACTTGGCAACAAGATACTCACCCTTCCATGCAAAACCAGGTTGAATGTGGTATCCCAAAAAGATTCCATCATTTGCTGTTGGTGATGTCTTTCCAGATGTGTTGTCAACCCTTTTTGGATTGTTCCAAAACAGTATCTTTGCACCGAAAGGAATCAACTGACCTGGAAAATCTTCTTCGAATCTGAGTTTCCATGGGGCATCATCACCGTTGAGCTGTGGCGTGGCATTCACTGCCATGGAGAAATGCTGCATAGCCATTGGCCAATACTGCAATGGAAGACCTGACTGCACGAGGTTTGTGCGCGTGCCTTCAAGCATGTGCCTGATCTCCCTCTCCACAAACGACTTTGAACTGTCCACGTACTCTGTTGATGTTTGATGTCTGTACCCCAACTCTGAAATTGTAGCAATAAGTTCTCGTGAATTGTCAGTGTAAACTGCCCCAACTTCATCCTTGTGAGATAAGAAGTGGTTGAAAGCATTAACACATGACTCACTCGATTTGGTCTGACTTGGATAGACGTGCCTGAACTGAGTGTGAATGTCCTTCATCACCAATGCCACTGTTTCACCTTTGACGCCTTCTTCCACATTGGATTTGATTACAGTATGGTCAGCGACAATGTGATCCCCAAAACTTTTGGTTTCCAACCTTTTCTGTCCCCCTTTCTTCTTTGCGGGTGGCGCCATCATGCGCGCCTTCTGACAGATTTTGCAAAATGGATTCTTGGGGTAATGGCAAAACTGGTGAGATTTGCTGCATGCCTCTTGCTCAAGGTCAGATGCCTTTCTAGACCTGACGTACTCGGTTTCACTATCATGAGCTACTCCCTCATCCACGCCTTCTTCATCGGCACCTTCTGCTTTTGCAGCAACCATTGCAAAAAGACGTAACAGATCACAATCTTTCTTGAACTGTCCACTGTTCAAAACACGACAAGAGCTATCAATAACTGGCACACGGCCGTCTACGTTAAGCTCGATGACTCCCATATCCGGACGAATGAAGTAAGGCCTCCCATCAGCTGGCCACACAAAACTGTAACCCTGTTCCATACATCTGACACCAACCGAAAGAACAGCAGGAGTTTCTTCGAGAATGTATGGTGAAAATGGCTGATGTAGGGCATCGACCTTTACGTCGGCCACCTCATCCGCTCGTGTCGAACCGTTCGCTGTAGCGAGGCTGATTGGGGTATCGCTGACACGGCGGTTTGTCGCCTTTGCAGTCTTCAGCATACCCTCACTAATCAAATCCTGTTCACTGCCCGTGTCAACCAACCAAACACATCCATCTTTTGATGCCGGTGTAGCAACAGTGGGCCGATGAGTGTTAGTGACTTTGTTTTTGGGACCAATCATTGCCCTACAGTGGTTGCATGATACTCCCCCTTCTGGGTCGTTGCATCGGAATCGGCATTTGGGCTGCGTCTCACTGCCGAAGAGCTTCACAAGTTCCTGCAACTGTCGGGCCGAAACCTGAGCACGGTGAGCCACGAGTTTGCCGGGTTTTGGCACTGACTCTGAATCAGGGAACGTCTTCTCATAGATTCGGGGTTTGTGCACTACCTTCCTCTGTTCACCTGTTGCTGGGACTTTGATGTATTCCACTTTTGATGAAAACACAATAGCTCTATGGCATTGTTCTTTCATGGCCTTTGTAGCTTTCGGCAACCCTTTTCCCTTTGCTATGCATGCATACCTTTGAGTAATGCATGGCGCAGCTTTTGCACTGGCCTTCTTCTTTGGTGCAGGGCTATTGGTGCGTTTTGGATCCTTTGTGGGTGCAGCTGCAACTTCATGTTTGTAAAAACACTTGTCACCACGACGACATTTGCCCTGTTGAAAGTAAGTGCATGGGATCTTGGCCATCTCTTCCTTCGACTTTCTGTTGGGGGAACCACTTCTGCTACCACCTTTGCCCTTACCCTTTCTTTTGGGGGTGCCAGATCTTGAGGAATCTTTGACATGCTTGTAGGGACAGTCTTTACCCTTTTCGCACTTGCCATCCCTGAACTTGTAACATATCTTATCCCCTTTTCCACTCTGGCTACGACCACGGGATCGACCTCGATCACCCTTTCCTTTGCCGCGATCTTTGCCCCCCTGAGCGGGTGCAGCGGGCTGAGGCTTTTCGGTCTGCTTGTTCTTTTCAACGATTCTGTTTCTGTTTGAACGGAGTCTTTCTCTATCCAAAAGATCACGAATGTTTCTCAACAAGAATGCATAAGACTTTTGTTCTGACTTTTCAGGAGCTCTGTCGAATGCTTCGATGTCATACTTCATCAATTGACATTTTCGGATTTGTCTGAGTAAGATGTCTCTGAGAACCAAATCATCTGGCGGGGTTTCCATGCCGGCAATTGTGGCGTCCCATCGGTTCAGAAACCTTCTAAGGTCCTCCACAGATTCTCCAGTGCGAACGACTCCAAGTAGGTCCTCGACGCGGTAGAGACTGCCAGCTTCCTCAGACGTCCTGAAGTAATCTTCAAACATCAAAAGGACTCTCCTACCTCTGACTTGGATCCCTTTCTTTGACTTCTCATCTTTGAAGTTATGGATCTTCGTTGCTAAATCACCTTTGGCCGAGCGAGTTAACGCTGCCGACAATTTGGTGTCAAGTGTGATAAACTTCCCAGGTTCCTGCAGCTTTTCCTCCAACTTTTCCCTAGGGGTTTTGTTGTCAAAGACTTCATTGAGCCAAAGCCAAGCCTCATCGGGTTTGTCGGAGCACGACTTCACTTCATCCCTGACATGATTACGCCAGTGACGATACGCTTCTGGGGCAGGCATGTCGTTCAGTTTGATAGTCTCTGCCTCTTTTGTTCGGGGCTTTTCACCATCTGAATCCTTTGAAGTCAGTCTAGTGATGAGATCTAGCAATTGTTGACCTGAAAGACCTAAGCCTGCTTCAGCTGCTTTCTTGCCAGGGTCGCTTGCTATTACTGTAGGACTGGGCACACTATGTTCTTGGTTTGCATCATCATCATTTTGTCTTTGAACTGGCAATGGTGGCAGTTTTGGAGGGGCTGCTGATCCGGCAGGGGTTGTTGAGAACAAGTTGCTCAACCTTTCCTTGGCGTCCATGGCTAAGCTACTCATACCAGTGTTTGGCATGGGTTCTGCTCCAGCCTTGGTACCGACCGCTGATTTTGGGGTCATGTACAAATCGACATTGTTCCCGCCTTGTGAATCATCAACTTCGACGGCTCTGTCGACATTGATTTCCGGGGCGCTGTACTTGTTGAGCTTCTCCATCAAATCCTCCACTTGTCCCTGCAATTGGAAGTTGAGTTCAGCAGCTTGGTTTTCCTGCCTACTGCATTCCTCTCTAATCTCCTGGATTACAGCTTGTTCCTCCTTCTTGAAACCTTCCATGCCATTCTTTGCATACTCTACTGTTTCATCCACGATTCGTTTACAGTCTGCCTCGAGGCTACCTCTGAGTTCAGAAAACCTTTGTTCGTACTGGGCTGTAACGTGGGCTACCTTTTGGTTGGCTCTTTGTTCAGCTTCCAGTGCAACTGCATTTGCAGCATTCTTCAGCTTTGCGTTTGCATCGCTAAGTTCCTGTCTCAGTTTTGCTACCTCATGCTCAGTTGCCGTTTGGGACATTGAATACTCTGACACTAGGTGTTCATGTCTGCGATCAGCTTCTGCACGTTGATGGGCGATTTCGCTAAGGCAAATTCCCTCAAACTCTTGGTACAGTTGCTGGACCTTTTGTTCCATGAGATGTGTGTGCCTCTCCTCTGCCTCTTGCCTGAAAGCATCAATGTTACCTTCGTTGATGTAGGTAAGATTGTTTTGCACGAACTGGAAATAGGCTTGCACGGGCTGTGTGAAGAAACCTTCATCCACTGACATGGGCGTGGGGTTTGTCCCAGCCGGCAAGCTCTGTTGAGAACCAGTTGCTGCGGATACTGTTCCGGTTGAAGGCACAAGGGCACCATCACCTGTTGCGTCGTGAGTCTTATCCATGGCTTTAGAGACTACGGCTGATAACCTGTATTTTCAGGTTTCAGCGGGGAAATTTACTTATCCCAAATAGACTGATAAACCTAAACAACAGTGGGGGAAATAACCGTTAAGCACCGCGGCCCAAACCCTTTTTAGACTGAGCCGCACAGCTGTCGTACATACCTATTATACATGTGTGTTTTGTGTGAGGTGCTTTTACACATCCAAATCATCCAATGCGCCTTGTCAGCGAAAGAGAGCTCCACCAACCTTTGGCCCAATCGAATCTGCTCCTCATTCCTTGGCCGAGATTGTTGGAACACATTCCGTGAGGAATTCAATCGGTTCAATTGACATTCCACACAGGGAGAGGACAAAACTGTGAGACAACACGCCCAAGTGAGACATCTAAATCCGACGGAAAAGAAACACTGACTTGGCCCCTGTGTGGAGCTGAGCTGCAAATAGAGGTTGGACGTGTGACACAGCCTTCCAGCTTGCTTCGCGACTGTCTCAGCCCAACCTGGGTCGCTGTGGCCTAAGCAATTCACTGCAATGCCCGCGGTGAAGTCCAAATACGACTCTCCATCGTTGTCCTGTGCGGATGCACAATTTTGGAACACGGTATGGTATTATGACTGCACAGGCACCCCATGTGCAACATGTGGGTTGAATTTTGATGGAATAGTTTTGACATGTTTTGATTGAATCTGATTGAAGGCATAGCTTTTGACCCTGCCGCAATTTGTCTCAAGATAATGTTGATTATTGACTTCCGCTCTCTCTGAACCCATCCAAAGCCTGGAGCATATGACCTTGTCCTTCTTGGAAGATCATCTGCCTCTCTCCATAGTTGTTCAACAAATTCCTTGGAAAGCACCAGTTTGTGAATTGCGTTCTGAATCCATCTGTTTACTTCAAGGTGGGCCCGACGATGGAACAGCTTCCAGATTGCTGTTGTGTAGGCTCTGACGTGTCTATGCAGATTTGGCAACAGATGCCAACAAAACTGCTGAGAAGTGAAGCCTAGTGGAACCTGTAGAAACACCTCAAAGGTTTCTAGCCGACCTTAAAAGTCGACTTCTTTCGAAGATCCGAGTGGCGCTTTGGCGAGTTCCCTGAGCTCTGAGGAAGCAGCGTGGAGCTCGTGAAGCTTGGCCTGGCCGGAGAGTGTCACGATTGGCACGACCTTTGTCGAGAATGATATGCGACATATTCAGAAAGATTCGTACGCGGCCCCAATGTGTACAATCGTGCATCCTTCTGCAATCTTCTGCATACCTACGTAGGATTTATGCATTGCTCTGAAAAGGTTCGAAAAGGAAGAGGCACCACACACGCAGCCCACAAGCAATTTATCCTTTCCTACCCAGTGTGAGGTCTATGAAAAACCATGGGCAAAAGCCGAATGGTTCGAAGAGACTCAAACATCATGATTGTGTGGAGACGGGAAAGGACCTTGAGCCAAAATTGGCACAGGAGTCCACTTGTAAACAACTCTTCCATACCATGTAGACCCCCAGCCAACCTACTTTTCATTAAAAAAAGGGATCTGAGGGCGGGTGCTGGTGACAGAAGCACAAGGTAAAACAAATCACCCAAGAACAGCTGTGATCCGTTCTGTGGCGTTCTGTCGGGTTGTGCGGCTGTGCCCAGCCTTTCGCCGGGCCTTTCGAAGGGCCAGTGGTGCTGCCAGAACTGCAGCAGTTGCCGATGCCCCAGAGGACCTGCAAGGAAATGATGTTGGTCTTCTCGATACACCATGTGTTGCCACGTTTTTCCAACATGTTTAAACTTTCGAACATCGTTTTTGCATCGTTTTTGCTTTCAGATTTGTTTCCACATGTGTGCGTTTTCAGATATGCATGTCTGCACCTGTTGGGTTCCCTCTCTTGGCCTTCTTAGACCAGTGAATGCTACAAATACCTCTCTATGCATCTTTGTGTTCCTTCCACTGCGCCTAGCTGTGCCAGATGCGCCAGAAGCTCTGGGCACAGTGCCCACCAGTCGGGGATACGGCGCCCGCTGCTCTTGGGGCGCAGAGACGTGTTGAAAGGCCAAACTTGAAATCATGGCCATGGAATCGATGGAACTGACACAGGGTCCCCCCGTGTCAACCGAGATGGCGGAGCGATCTTTGATCCAAATGACGTCAGCAAGTCACACAGCAACGAAAAAAAGGTATACTGGCCCTGTATCTCCCTTTATGTCGTGGCCGATTTGCATACTCTGTGTATCTTCTTGCAGAATCTGTTGACTGGGAACCCAAGTGATAGTCATAGTTAACATCGCCGACATGGCACTGATTGTCCGACCCATAGTGGCCACCTGCCAGAGACTCACAGGATGGATGGAGATCAAAAGCCTTGGTACATGGATGGTCTCACCCATCTAGCATCATGATGTGAAAACACTGGGCTCAGTTTTGTCTCTTCAAAGATCCGTCTCTTTTCACGAGAATCCCTTTTCTGAATCCTCTAAACCAATTTTCTTTCTGGATTCTCGTGGTTTCTGTGGACGTTTCTTCTACTTTGCATCAGTTTCCTAGGAGGTTTTTGTGCTGAGTTGCGCGACAGGACTCCACCGCGTCGCAAGCTGCGGCGCACCGTAGAGAGGGCCTGGAGTGCGGCTGAAAGCCTTGGCCAATTGAAACGACGCGCAACGGCACCAAAGGCTTTGAACCAAAAGAATGACGTTCTGTCGGCTTCTGTCGGCCTTGATTCTTCTGGGCCAGGCAGTTTCATGGAAGTTTAGAAACACCGATAACAAATCTGAAAGTTGTGCGAGTGAATTTCCCGACATGCACTTGCATGGCCGAGCAACTCACCGCAAAGCAAGTAGTCCATGGTGCCTTTATCAACAGCCTGAGTTTGTTTTGTGCCCTCAAAAAATGCTGCGCTTCATGTTGATGTCATTTAACACTTCGGAATTTCAACGCCCATCTGTGGTACATTGCTTGCAGGTGTTGCCGCACCTTTACTGGACCAGACAGAACAATTGAAGCAAACGATCGGATTTCTTGAGGCAACCTGACATGCCTGACATGGGATGCAACCTCATCGTAAAGTTGACGGAAATTTGAGTCTGCAGCAAAGTCGAATCTCTCCTCTCCCAAGGATTGCCTTCAATTCTTGCTTCAGGACTGGACAAAAAGTGAACTTTACAACACCGTGCGCCTAGTGATGTCAGCTTCGACGAAGAAAAGCCCTACCGAGTTTGTAGGAGGATGGAGGGATATCCGGGGCCATCAGAATCAAAAAAATTGAGCCACAGGGGTGATCTCTAAATCCCAGTGTCGGCGTGTTGAGTCAATTCTCTCAGTCTTGGGACGGAAGAGGTCAGGCAGTGGGAAAAGGAGTGGAGCCGGAAATAAATGTTGAGAGCTATTGAAAAACTGACCCATATGTTCATCCAGAAACAAAGAAGTTGAAACATCCTATTCTCATTAATTCAAGTTTGTTGCTTTCCGGATGTTTTTGGGCTCTGTGGGTTTCAGCATGTTTGAAAAAGGGCTTAAGGCCGACCGCGGGGTACACAAAAGACAGGTCGCTAGCGGGCGTTCAGCGGGAGACCGTTTATGTTTCACGCCATGTGCAAGAACATCGAGGAAAGACTGAACTAAACCAAACATTGGAAGCTCTATGTTGGGAAACCAGTCGGAAGAAATGGTGAAAAGATGTGAAAAGTATGAGATCCTGAGCATGCAAAGGGATGCAAAGGGCAGGGTGAAGAACAACGGGCTGCTGAAAAGGAGACGAAACGCAGCATGGAGGCTCCATCTTGGGAATTGTTTGAGGAGATTTCAGATGTGACCCCGCAAAGAAAAGTGGCAGGTAATATCGAAAGGTCCGCAGGGTGGAACCACCCACGGGCCTTGAAAACAAGGAAAAACAAAACACAACATGGGGGGCTCCATGTTGGGGAACGATTGTCGGAGGTTGTGTCGAAGGATATGAAATGATCATTTAATCATTGAAGTATAAACCAAAAACAACATGGAACTTCGCTCCCTGGGAGGAGGCAAATTGTAAAAGCAACAGCCAAATGAACCAGGATGGAGTTAAAGGTGGAGGGAAGGAAAAAAGGACGGGAGAAGGTAGGAGAAAAGATTTGATTGTGATGAGCTATGCTTTTCAGGCAATTCACCTTGGTGTGAGAGAAACCATCACCTTTTTAGCATTCAATGCGACCTCAAAGTATGCTGTGCTTCGGCCATCTGACAGACTCATTGCAATGTCTTCCGAATGGTTGCATCTGAAAACCTTTTGGGAAGAGACTCAGAGATGCTGCTTGGTGAACGGCAACGAAAAAGACAGCAACATATAGCAAGGTAATGCAAGGTGGTATAACGGTATAACTCGTCTCAACGCAGGCTTTTTACTGCCAGGTCCTTCTGCATTGTGGAGGCTCTGCTGTGACTTGATCACTGCCTCTGATGACTGGGTCTCTGGAGTCTTTGGGTCAAGAGTTCTGAAAGCCAAAGCATACAGATATCTAGATTCTGACACCTACTGGACTCCCTGGTAGTATGGATGATTTCCAGTGGTACATGTGCTATGTCATTATATATGCTACTCCTGGGAACAAAATGAAATGCTGAGTGCGCGAACGGCATCGATGTCAATTGCATGTACCCTGGCAAACTGTCTTTGCATCACCCCAAAAAGCTGTGTCTCAGCCATTGTGACATGTTATTCGTTTGAAGATCGAACACAGCCATGTTTGCGATATTTGAATGGTGGTTGCCAGTGTCACTTCCGCAGGGCTCTTGTCCATCATGTTTCTGTCTCACATGGATTGATCAACAGTTGCATGATTTGCGGCTGTGTATGAGCATGGGCGTGGCCACATTTTTCAAACTTCCAATTGCGGCTTTGCCACAAGCTGAGCTGCTGAAGTGCTTGGGTTAGTCTTTTCGAGATTTGCAAAGTATCTTGCCCCCTGCCTGCGCTGTCCTTGATTCCACAACGCCCAGGGCAAAGTAGAGGTTCCACATCCTACATCCAACCTGAGAACCAGACCCCCAGATTCTCTGTTTCACTGGACGAGTAGGAACACAAACAAGCTAGCAGTCAAAATCAATGGAAAGGCACAGTGGTTGGGAGTGCTGATGACAGAACTGCTGCCAAGGAACACTTCCAAATGTTGGTCCTGTATTAGGAACAAACTGGCGTGTAAATCTGACACATGGGTGCACTTGAAGGTAGAGGTGTACGCATGTGTGTAGATGCTAGCTGTCTTTGCAAGCCCTGCGGCCCTACGGATCTGTTCTGCGTGTGTCCGGTCTACAATGCTCATTCTCTCATTGACATCTGCAATATTTGCAAGATCCCCAAGCCTTTAACGCATTTAAAACTAAACTATATACAGCTAGTCCAGTCTGGCCATGTGCTGAGCCGCCTCGCTGGACTTTGCATAACCCAACGCTGCCTGAGTCAAGACACGCCGCACCGTGCAAACCACCCAACGTGTTGAAGAACCGTGTGCGGCCCATGCGAACGACCAACAGCTTTTTACCTCTCATTGGGAGGATCGTGAGCACGGCTCGTTGACACATCTTGACACAGCTCTTCCCAAGCCTACCAAGTGCTTCTGCGCCTCCAAGATGGGGCTCAAGGTCTCATGGTTTTCACACCAATCCTTGGAAAGTTGCAAAACCATGCGACACCCTCCAAATGATGGGCCAAGGGGGTGCCGACTTTGTCAATGATGGCAAAATGGCTGAGCCAAAGAATATGGCGTCAGCTCAGGGTAAACAATTCAGGATTTTGTATTTTCAATTGTCCTCGCCACATCGCGAACTGCTGCTATTTCTTGTTTTGAAGGCCTAGTTGCGAACATACCGCAGAGAATACCATCTGCAAAATGCTCGCCACATTTGGAGGATGCAGCGAAAGTGTGCAATTTGTGCAAATGCATAGCTAGCCTAGCTGGTGATCTCGAAATAGCTCCAACATGCTCCAACACATCTGCAAAGAATGGCTTCGGTGGAATGCCCATCTGACTCAGGCAGAAAAAGAGTTGTTCTGCAATTCACTGATTGAATTGGTCTGAGCCATCTTGAACTGTTTGGCATCACAACATATTCCGCACCAACGGGAAGCACGCGTGAGAACCAAGCTCAGCGGAACGGTAGAACAACTAGCAGTGCATGTTGCCATTACCAACTAGTGAACTCATGTGCTCAGCACAGGTTGTGATAAGTCGGGCAAACAATCCTGATCTTGATTCGATCTCGGCGTTCAATCTGTAAGGCATCATGAAGCATCCCAACAAACACATACAAAATCATACAAACACCTCATGAGTGGAAGAAAACGTCGTAGAGCATGGCACCTCCAATATAGCCACAGCCTTAAAAGCACCTCTAATATAGCCACAGGCTTGAGAGATTTTGCCTAGGTTGAATCGCCCAGCCTGGACGTTTTAGTAATTAGCCAAGACACCAAACCACCGAAACACCCAAAGCGAAGTAGCTCATATGATCGTAAGTCATCATAAATCTGCGAAAATTGAAGCAAGTGCTGGACACTGCTGACAACAAGCGGGCGTCTTGTTTGACAAATCCATCTCCTCTTTCTGCTCTTTCACTCCCACGCCGGTCTTGGAAAATGATTGCAACACGCAGCCTTCGGTGGGGTGCTGGAAAGTGATGAGGCGTCGAATTCTCAGATTCTCTGTAAACTCTGGTGGCCATGTCAACTTTGTCAACTCACCCCATGCCTATGGCATTCTATGGCCATGTGGTGACTCTTGTGCACGTATTCATTCAAATCGTTAGCGCCGAATGGTGAGTGTTCCAGAACCCTCCAGGCAGTGAAGCGCTCAGAGACAGGACACCACGCCTAAGACCTCAGCTATTTTCAGACTCAAAATGTCTGCCGTTTGAACCTGTTTCAGCATGTTTCAACATGTTTCAAGTAGCACTTCAGCTCCATCTACCGGCTGCCACTTGGGCACAGGTGCCGGACGGCTCCTGCCACCCCCATGGCCACCAGGGAGGCAAAAAAGAGTTGCCTGGCCCCAATGCTGAGAATGCTGAGAATGCTGAAACGAGGCTGAAACGAGGGAGATCAGGGAGAGGTTCCCTTTGACTCGGCCTCGCAGGGCTCAGGACTTCACAGGTGAGGCGCCAGTAGCACAGCCTGGAAGTCGCGAGATGCTCTGCTTGGAAACTTGAAATCAAAGAATGATGCCAAATAAATCTCAAATAAATCCCACATAAATCCCAAATCATCTTAGGTCATCTCAAATCATCTTGGACCAGCTCATACATTTCATTCGTGCCAAATAGCTAGGGATATCTATGATAGCGTGATTGCTCTAAGATACCACAGCAATGGGAAATGCCATGAGATATCAACATCTGTGAAGCGCTTTCCAAGAAGCCGGACACTTTCCATTACTTTCCTCTCGTTTGTCTTGCACTGCCAGAACAGATGCTGAGGCAGCGGCACTGGCAGAACGAAGGCAATGTTCATGCAAAAGAATGACCTGGGAAATCTGTCAAAGATCAAATTGCAACTCAATGACTCAATGATGAAAATCTGTCCACAGTTTCTTGGGCTTAAGCATATCCAGCTGGCATTTCTCCAGAAACGAACTCTGTAAACTTTGCTTTTCAATGCCCCAAACAGCCATGACAATCTAAGAGACTGGCCCCAACAGGTTCAACAAATATGCCTCGGGTAGAATCACGGCACTTCACCGGAATGTTCGGAATGACACAATGTCATGCTGTGAGTGTCAAGTCATTTGCTAAAGATGGATCAGACTCATGGCAACAGAACCGCAGCGCAGTTCACATCTAGGCGCTGGACCATCTCGTTGGCGAAATGCACCGACACCAAAGCAGTGACCTGAAATATATGGAGCCAACAAAGCCTTGCGATCGTCCTTGAGGTCTCCTTATATTCAGGCTTATTCAACGGCTTATTCAGGATCACTTTTCACAACTTTGAATATTGAATACCCAGCACGGTGTTCTCAATGAACAGAGTTGAGGAACAGAGCCAATAGAGCCAGGTTGATAGTGACTTAGGTGTGTCCGTGAGGCATCCCCAAGGCTGCGGCAAGGAGCACCACCGGCGTCACAGACAACTGCACCGTATCGGCGAGATCGCCGGCTCTGCTGCGGAGCGCGCCCTGAGGCTTTTGCGTTGATTCGCGTTGACATTTTCCAAATCGTCATCAGGAGTCGAGATCATCGAGATCTGGAAAAATGCTGTAGATATGATTTAGATCATGCAGGGATAATCTGGTGCCATGTGGAAAGAAAGCTTTCGACCCGAATAGTTCTATCGGATCATGATCTGTGGCTCTGAGCTGGAACTTACTTTGCAATCAAACTCCTTGCCCCCCAAATTCCAACCACTCATCACTGAGCCAATCGGCCAATCATCTGATATCATATTTGACAGTTTTTGACTTGACCATGTTGGCTTGTAAAATTTCGGTCTTGGCTTTGGCATTTGATCCATCACTTGTAAAATTTTCTTTGGCTTTGGCAGAGAATGCAATTCAGTTTCACCCACCACTGCGATGCACCATGCCTTGATCACAGCGCTCAAGGGTGACAAGACCTCGTGACTGCCGAGGGGTTGGGGATGGTTGGGGTTGTGGCTGAGAATGGGTTCATCACTGCTACTGGGTGACTAGATCGCAGCGTCTCAAACATTTAGACATGACCTGACTAAAGTGAGATTTGCTTCAACGCAATTCAATGTATCATGTGTTGTCGGTGCAGCACACTGGGAGAAACAGCATTTTCGACGGACACATTGAGATGAATGAGCTTTCTGAAAGCTCAACACTCAACTTGCTGTGTGCAACTTCCAGAGAGCTCACTTTTCTGAAGTCTGACGGCAAAGCGATGGTAGTTCTCACACCATCTGGATCAACACTGATGGTCTATCGAGTCTACCGGGTCTATCGCTTCAGTGCCCTCTTCACGGCGTAGGACACAACGGCAGTCGCGGCACTGCTCTGCCAACTCTGCAGCTTCTCTGTCACCTCAAGACATGCGATGACACATCGACCCGACCTCAAGGCATGTCACATCATGTCACCTACTATGCCAGTGTGATGCCAATGTGAGACATGGCCCGCCATATGGCCTGATCTCGGCGTTTCAGCAATGCTCGGTCGAAAGCTGCAGCTGTTGCATCGCGAAGCAAAGCCGCGCGCAGCTTGGACAACTCCTTGTAGGCTTCACATGGCTTCATGATCAAAACTCTCAGTACTGCTGGAGTAAAGGACATATCTTTTTCACATACTTTGCATCGTATCGAAATACAATAAATAATACCAACATATACCAAATGTATGGCCCTGTATGGTACATGGATGGTACATAGATGCTACTCCAAGATATCATGGTCACGTTGAAGACTTTGGAGCTTTCCCTGGCCGTGTCCTCCACCCGTGCGACGGTGATGTCGCCCTTGTCAGCCAGGGCTGATTTGGCAGCCAGCCGCACTCGGGCAGAGTCCGACAAACGACGCATCCTCGGAGGGATCTTGAAATGCACATGGGATGCATCATTGGTTGTCATCATTCACATTGGTTTCCACAAACAATTTGATACAACTTACGTAGTGTAAAATCATCTACTGTACCTGCTGTCCACACTGACGATGCTTGCCTGTTGCAACCCCTCCATTCTTGGCCGCGTGGCAATTCCACCTTTCGACGCAAGTTTGGAGTCAGTGGTCTGCGCAAGTGTAGCCACGCAACCTGAAATACTGCATATTGCAACATCGAGTACAACGAAAAATAACGAAAACACAGGATCCGGATGTCAATTGGGATGTTCGATCCGCTGAGAATGAGCAAAACCACAGCATGTCACCTTCTGGCTGGCACAGCGCAAGTACAAATTGAATCACCCGCACACTTTGGCCGTCTGTGAAAACTGACGGCACACTTTTTTCCTCGGCCGCTTTGTCCGATGAAGAAGGCTTCAACCTCTCTCTCGCGCTGCACGTGCTCCATCACATCGGATGGCACTCGCGGAATCACCAAGTGAACAATACCCAGCACCAAGACCTGAAGCTGTGGCATGTGGGAAGCAAAAAGAAGCAATGGGAATATCACGATATCAGTGCGAAGATCTGGAAGTTTTCGGAAACATCCCAATCGTTCCAATCGTTCCAACCCTGGTCTTGAATCCCTTCGTCCATGGCTAACCCATCTTTCACCCAAACAGATCCGGCTGTCAGGCCTAGCAACAAGATCTGTGGGAACCGGGGAACACATTTGAAGACTGACACCAACTCTCAACCCTAGCAGTAAGCAACATCGTGCTCCAACCCAGGCACTAAACATAAAATTGAAATAAATTGAACCTGTTAACACCCAGGTGGTTTCTTCATAACCAAATGGGAACAATCGGAACCACGGTAATCTGGTAGCTGTCATGTCTTGCAACATTCAGGCTGTGCTCAAAATCGGAAATTTGTGCTGGGCCTTTTCCATTCAAAAAAAGAATTGCCAAGGAACCATCAAAAGCATCGCAGTGCTGAAGAAGGCTGCGTGGACTGCAGGTCCCTGCAACTGTCAGAGCTACGTCTGGGCCATTCGTTGGTTCACAAGTGGCTGCATCTCTCAATCAATCCTACTCGATATTGGGAATGTGTCTTTCCAGATTTGTGCTTTGAATGCCTTTCCTGTTTGCAAAAGTTTGCCATGTCAATAGTGACGTAGCACTTGTGATTCTAGCGCGCGGATGCGCCAAAGCCTCTCCGAAAATGTCAAAGACCAGCGAAGTGCGAAAAGTGACGATTGCCAGATTGAAAAGCCTCAGTGTGGATGCTAAAGCTGTTTACTGATTCAAACACATTGTTCAAACAATTCTTCAATGTTTTGTGCCAGGATTCAAGTGGAATGTAGTGATTTATCTATATTTATCTGATGTTTTCTGCTATCTCTGCTACATTAAAGGTGACCAAAGTCGCCCGTGGATTCAGCAAATTGATTTAGCCTCGTGGCGCGCCAACATAGACGTACGACTGAAAAATCGCCATCCAAGCCTAGATGCTAGACGAGAAACCATGGACGCCGAGGCGTGAGCAAAAGTGCTTTGAAAACAATAGACCGAATCATCATACTGTCATAAGTTCATAAGTCATAAGATGTCATAAGATGTCAAAAGATGTCATAAAATGTCATAAGTCATAGGCATCCAGTTGAGATTCCAAGAGTAATCGAATAGTACTCATCAGCTACAGTCAGCTGCGCCTCGGGTAAACCATGACCAGCTCGTGGTTGAGGCTGTCGCCGATCCAAGAGTTGGAAGAGATCCATCTGAAACTCCACCAGCAAATGCCTCGACTTGCTGCAACTCGTCAAAGAAGTGGATACAACATGATACAACATGCAACTGATCTACAACTGCATCGTCTGATCAGCTTCTCTGCCAACATGCAACTGATCAGCTTCTCTGCAAGTGTTGCGACGCCGCAGTGATCATGATCAAACCTTTCACTTTCTGACTGCGTTGTGTTAGGACTTTCAGATCTTTCAGCCGAGGCTACGCCAAGAAAAGCAGCGGCGCAAACGGGTAAATCACGGTGGTTAACGACACCACCAAGAAATGCACAGAGAGATCTGTGGCAGTATCCAGCACCTCCCACGGCTCCTAGGGGCGAGTCAAACGCAAAGATTTAATGCAAAGATTTGCAAAAAAACATCAAAAGAACCCACTTGTTGCAAATCAATTATCAAAATAAGTGACATCCGCCTTCATCACTGTGAACATGTCTTCAATTAGTAGTTTTTCGTGATCCGCACCCTCCCGACCCTCCGACCCTCCCGACCCTCCGACCCTCCCGACCTGCTTGTCTAGTTGGCATTCACAAGCAAATATCAGTTCCGAAGGCAAATTCGAAGGTCCTTGCAGCATCGGATTTGGGATCCAAATCATGTCAGCATTGAACTGCACTCAGTCATCTGTGGCATCAGGGGATCCTTTCTCTGGAAATCTTCACGACTCCTGGTGCTCCAATCTACCCTGTCAGTGCCGGTGTTTCACAGTTTTATGATGTTTCACTGCTATGATGTGGTGGTGCCATGAGACCCTCCTGCATCACCAAGGTCAGTGGAGCTGCGCATGAAGCGAGGACGCCTTGGCTTCTATCTGCAACGGATTGATCTTCTTTGTCCCATGAAGCATGTCAAAACTTGTCAAAACATGTCAAACATACTGAAGTCAAGCCTGGGACAAAGCCACCGCCTCAAGCGGCTTCGGCGCATGCGCCGGCGGCTGCCTTCCTGGTCCAGTGCCTGGGCTTCCCCAAAACGGCAGGGACACTTTGACTCTCCCGTTGTGCACTTTGCTAGTGCTGAGGCTAGTCCTGAATTGCACTTGTCAAGAGAACACAAACTCATGAGCCGCAAATATCAACATAACATACCCAAACCTATCATAGCAGTACTAACAACTTCCAAAACGCCAAGAGGGAACGAAACTGAAACTTGACGACTTCCACCGTGTGGACCCACGGACATAGCATCGAGGTGCCAAATCTGTGAGGACGTCCTCAGCAAAGTCTACGGCGAAGAGTGGGTAGAGACCGCGCGTGCAAAGAAAACCACAGTCGCGGGATGATCCACTTCAGCCTGAAGCACCACTGGGACACCACTGACACACCACAAACCCATACAAACTGTGCTGCATTCGAGGTGTGAAACTTTGGGACATCATTGTTTACCGTCACTTCTGGGAATGGAACAAACTCTTCTTGCAGCAAGGGAGAAAACGAGAACGTCATTGGAACAGATTACTGCGCACCATTCCTTTCTTCAAAAACAAAGACGAAGGAACACTGCAATGTGACAATCTTTATTTTTCACATCTTGTCAGAAGGCCTCAGAAGGCCTCTGACCTTCCCCCCAACGACTGCCCGGCAGCAAGTTGTGCATGAAGATCTTGGAGACCTAAACGTGAAACTGACAGTGATTTACTGCTGGCCAGGACAGCCTTGGTGATCTTTGATCTCTGGTAGCCTCTGCCTCTGCTGGGACAAATCTCACAATCTTTCTCGGCTGTCCAATTTCTTCTGCAGCTGCAAATGTTTAGCGAGCTTCTAGGTTTATCCCATGATGCAAGTCTCCACTTATCAACATCCATCGTGTTGACAATGTGGCTTAGACACAGTGTAGACACTATCAAAGGGTTCTCGCCAGTTCCATTTCAAGGCACGAGCCATCCAGCGATGAACTGCCGCGCATGTCGCAGTACTGCGTCTCCACGAACATCTGCAAAACTTAGGACCACCTGGTTCAACTCTTGCATTATCTCATTTTATGTGGAATTTCCATCGCCATCTGAGAAACAACTTCATTAAGAAAAAGAACATCAGAACTTTTATCTCTTGGAGAACACGAAACATATACGTGCGTCTCTAGGTATCACCACGTTTCGTGGCTCGGCGTCACATGGCATCACAATCGGCCTGACCGTTTCGGAGCTCCTGATCGCAGCACTCCTGGCCACTTTGAATCATTTGTTCCAAAAAATCAATTGCACCTTTTTGAAACTCCTGCAATCTCTTTGCATCTTACCACCCTCTGCACAAATGAAACTGCAAACGGATTCTATTCGCTTCAACTTGTTGCAGCCAGTCTCCATCATCTCCACCAATGCGCGAATCATACTGAACGCGCGGTGCAGTATTTTCTCCAGGGCCTTGACATGTCATAAGAACTACTTAATTGCTATGTGCCATGACGCCTGTCGTAGCTCTCCTGATCCCAAAATTCACATTGCTCGATGCCAAGTGTTTGCCGCAGCTCCGGATTCCCATAGGCGCATGGCCACAAGTACGGTCGAATAAAAAGTAGGTGGAGGAGCGGATAGCCTTGGGACAAAGCCAAGAACTCATAATCAATTCGCTGCACCTGCTGAAGTCGCAACATGATGCTCGGCATTCTATGAGTGTCTTCTCAGTTTGAAGGAAGCAGTCCTGATTCTCCATAAAAGCGAACTGAGACCACTTAGTATGCTTAGTATCTCGACACTCCAACACAATGCATAGCACCGTTTGCAGCTTTGGCACACTGGACGATCACAGTCAAAGCCCATTTTTTCAATAAGATGGAGGTCTCCCATGACCTTGGATGCACCATGATGCACCACATCTGAAACGTATTTGAAATTCATTCACCCAGCATATCGCACTTTTAAAGATACATTTTGAGGTTGTTAGAAACAACTCTTTTTATGTAGCGACTGTGCTCATGCTCTCTTGCAACAACTCAAACCCTCGGAGTTTCTGTCCAAGCTGCGCCTCTATGCGATGGTTCTCGGCCTCTGTCAAGGCGTTCGCCACGAGCCGAAACAGGTGATACATCAAGACGCTGGCCTCAATCTCAATGAATCTCACGAGTCTGTTGAAAATCTTCGTGTTCGAAACAGAAGTGAAGCGAAAAGAGTCACAATATCTCTCTAGGTATGCAGCCCGGATGCCACAGAAAACATCACACCAAGTGAGGCATAGTTCTCCGTTGCCACTTGAACCTGTGGCCGATGAGATGCCATTGCGGATCTTGATGGACATCAAGTTCGCTGCACACAACTTACTTGCATCATTGATGCATCATTATCACCTCCAAATGTCCATGAGCAAGACATCACTGAGAAAAATGTAACACATTTTGCTAACTCTGCCTGATCTGCTCGCAGAAAGATTGCACCCAGCACAGCAAAGACTATTCCCCAAATACTCAAGAAACAAAGATTCACCTTGGCTCATCGGATTACTAGTGATTTCCCAATCACTCTTGGATCGGCTATCGGCTCATTACGGGTGATTTACAGTGTTGTCACAGAGGCCAGAAAGATAAGATACGATAAGCATCGATATGATACATCTTCTCTTCAAACTCTTTAAACATCTTTTAAGCTTTATCTATAATATCTATATCCGCTATATCATTATGCACAAATTATACCATGCTCTATTGACACTGTCTTGCTATAGAGTGGCGTTCTGGACATGAAATCCCAGTGGTGCTGACGCATTTCACATAAATTCATCTTGCGCAGCCCTGCATGTACTAGACAAGAACAGGCAAAATGATCGCTGTGGTTTGTTGCATGGGAATCTGTTGTAGCAGGCACATTGCTTTTGCAGAGTGGCAGCTTTCTGCTTTCATCCTTTCGGCCTTTGAAGTGGACATATTCGTTTTCATCAATTCAAAGGCAAGTGCATTTGTGCTTTGGAACCCTCTGTCTCGTGTGAAATTTGTAGCCCAGTCACGGCAATCACACGAGCTTGAAATAGTCGCCTGGCCAGGTGACTATGCTTCAAGTGAAATTAACAAATCTCTGAAAAACACAGCAAGACGAATACGATATATTGAATATATTGCAACCTTACAGCAACTCTGGACTGTTTCAAATTTGAGACAGGAATGTGTATCATGTGTGCTCAAATAGGAATCTCGGAAGGCAAAACCGTCGGTGTCAACTCTGCGTCACCGCGTCGGTGGCCTGTTGCGGTGCACGAGAACCAAGCGTCCATCCACACGGCTGACCTGAAGCAGCCAAGGCATTCAGCAACGGCATTCAGGTTCAACAGTACATCCGAGTACTTCGGATTCTCGGAATCCGTGCAAGGCTTTACATCCGCACAAACCGCACATCAAACACTTGGACACTTTGCGGATGATTTGTGATATGATGTGATATGTATCATTGCAGGTCGCAATGAGACTGACCGTTTGGTACTCTCTTCGCTCGTCTTTGCTCTGTCCTCTGAGTTACTGCCAGCTTCCCTCGAAATGAGGGCCGTGTCAAAGCCCGCCGCCAGGGATGACAGCCCCACTGACGTGCCAAACGCTTCTCCTCAACTGCAGCGAGATCGATTCAAAAAACGACATTCCACAATATTTCAGGGAAAATCGAGACAAAGTGGACAACATTGAGACAAAAGCAACATATAAACAACATCTAAACAACATCTTCAGGATTCTTCAGGATTCCTCAGGAACTGTTGTGAAGAACTTCGCACCGGCCTGGCGATGCCAGGACTCGATGACGCACTGGCCCCAAATCGTGGTGGTGAGGCCGATCATCAAAGACCTCGATTCGATAGTCCAAATGTCCAATGGATCAATGGCTGGAATAAGGAATAGTAATGGCATAGTAATGGCATAGTAATGGCATAGTAATGGCATAGTAATGGCATAGTACAGTAATGGATGTGAATAGTAATGGCTGGAATGGATGATGACACATCAGGATCAACGAATGTCCAATGTATGTCACGTATCTGACACATCGACACACACGTGACATGTTGGGAATCGAGGCATTGAGGTGCCACAAAGGTGCCACAGAGGCCATCGACTTTGCGAAGCGTCGCTAATTTCGGAGACCATCTCGTCCAGAAGAAACAACGGTTTTTCCTCACGTTCAGATCTGCTCTAAGTCAAACCTAGTCCATCCTAGTCCATTTAATGATTTTACGTCCCTTTCTGGATGTTTTCGTTTTTTAATGCTTTCGTGTTCACTCATCTAGATCTTCATTTCACGTGTCGCACAAAAGTACTGCTCAGTCCTGGGCAACCGCCTGAACCAAATGTCTGGCCCAGTCCACGCTGTAAACCGCCAACAAAGGCGCCAGAAGAACAGACAGGGCGAAACCATATGAGAACAAATGTTGCATGAAGGCGAAGTAGAAACCTGCTGTCTCGGGTCCCGTTTTGCATGTGATTTCATGTCGAAATCAAGAGGAACACGTCAAACTTAGCAAATTCTTAGCAACATTTGGCAACTTGAAATCGTGAATGCAACACGGCCTCACAGCCTTGGAACAAGACTTGGACTATGACTCAACAAAAAGCCATGGAAGCCTGGAAAACATCATTCGTTGCAATTTCAAACAAGCTGCCAATTTGTTGCCCAAAATAGTGCTGAAGAGACCATGGGAGTTGCTTGTCCTGAAACTCAAAATCTTGACACAAAACGGTCTCGGTATGTCTTAATTTTGGCGCCTTTGCGGTTTGGAGTTGAGATCAAAGGGGCAACGTGGGGCAACAGAACATCAACCATTCCTGTGACAGACATTCCATAGCCTTCGGCATGCTGCCTCTTCATGCCTTTTAACATGCACATCGTACCATGTTAATCATGTTACCTACAGCTACAGTATGTTAAAATGATTTACAATGCGTTACCATGCGTGACACCTTGTGACACCTTGTGACACCTTGTGACACCTGAGAGGTTCCAGAATGATCGTCATTCCTCGCCGTGCTCCCGGTGCGGTCCACGACCCCAGAGAGAAGGCCATGTCGAAAAAGCGCAGAACCGGGACGGCCGAATTTCATACGCAGCCGTTGAAACGTCGCATCTCGGGGATCCTGTCAGAATCAAGCCTGGTGCTCCAAATTGCCAGAAACCTCGGGTTTTGGACCGAACGTAAGAAACAAACACGCTTCTGTGTAAAGAAAAAGGCTTTATATACACCAATACCCTGGTTTTCTATACTAAACCAATACTAAAACCATATTTTTTCCATGGCAAGCCACCTTTTTTATGGGCTTTGATGGCCTGCGAAGCCAAAACCAAAAACCCGGGTTTGCGTTCGAACCTGCGCTTTTCCACTGCACCCATTGTTCTTCCGATTATGGGCTATGAAGGTATATAAAATTTACTTAGTTATCTGCCGACTTCTATCATGTTATCTCACCTCATTTCACGTTGTATTTCCAAGTTTTGCCAACAAATAATCACGATCAGATGGTCAATCTGTGGATGCCAATGTCATCATCCTCAATTGGCAAACCAAAACAGAATCAGAGGCTGAAATCATGTCCTGCATCAAGAAGTACAGCGAAAATGCTCTGGGAAACTCTCCTCAAACAAGCAACACGGCTCATCATCCACACTGCAACCCACCATGCAGCAAAAGAAGCAAATAAACCGTATACAAGGCAGGAGCAAACACAAGAATCGCGAACCAACCCGAGAAGAAACAATGTTTGAATATTTACTTCACATGAAAAATGTGAAGAGCAACATTCCTAAACCGTGTCATTCCGATTTGATTGTAGCAATGTAGATCAAATAACATCAAACAACCACTTCCTGATTAGACTTTGGTCATCAACACCCGATTTTGGGCTTGCCAAACACCTCTTGCCGGGTGTCTTTGTGTATGGCCGGCGGCGACACGCGCCACCCGATTGGCTCCAAAGTTGCGACAGGTGTGCAATAAACCTCAGTTGATGGAGATGGACAAATGTGGTAGACTTGAACGGGTTCTGCATAAATAATTTCGCTCCATCTGACTGAGTCCAGACTGTGTCTCTGTGGGTTGAACTTCGTTGATCATAGGCATTCATAGGCTATATAGCTTAAAATATGTGAAAAAAATGTGAACAAGGGCAAAAGATGTCAAAAGTACAAATGCCGAGCGGCAGTTGTAAAACTTTGGCTTCTTCCATTGGTCCAACTTCAATCCAGGTCCCATGGTGCCCACTGCGCCTGGAAGGTCCTCAGTCGGAAAACCCAAGGATAATATCGATAAGTCAAAGAAAGTCTGAGAAAGTAACGGGTTTGCCAAGATTTGCCAAGCATCATCTCCAACCAAGCTCAAAAGCATTCGCAGTCGTTGAGAAGGCGGCAAAATACTTGAGAGCTGATCGTTTCCTGCAAGCCACTGTATATGCAAACATGCTGCAAACATGCTCATATGTCAACACAGTCGATTTGATGTGGCTGCGCAATGTGCTGCCGCAACAGGGAGCTGCTTTGATTTTCACCAGTTTATCTGTTCAATTCGTCCAGTGACCCTTGTCGAGACCGGACACCAGCGGATAGTGTTGAAAGACGCGCCGAGGGATCTGAGGGCAAAAACCTGCGGCTGAAGCTTCACTTCATTCAAGTCATTCAAGTCATTCATTTCATGATAATGCAAAAAATAATGCAATTCTTTCTTGATAGTGTCGTTGGACCGCCATTCATCTTGGCCAATGTTTCTGTGTTCTTTGCATCTGCTGTTGAGCGACGCATGTGAAGATCAGCCCAAACATCTTCCAACGTCCCCAATGGACTTTGAGCTTCTCCAGTCCGTGAATCATAGGATTCACACGTGTCGATTTCCTGCATCAACTTTGCTTTCCATGCTTCGATTGGTCAAACCAACACAGTGAAACCAAACCCGCCAATGAAATCAATCAAAAGTCCAAAAGTTGAACCTTGAAACCAGATGAAACCAGTAGTACATAGTGCAACAATCAAAGAGCTCGCTGCGTTGCCGTGGCCGCGAAACAATCGCCGCACCTGGAAATCACAGGATTCTGAGCGCAGCCCCAGCAGCATACCCAGATCTGAGGCATATCTTTGTGCATGATCTGCGTCCAGCTGCAAATCGATGGGATAAAATGCCAGGTTCCTCGCCGTGCGGCCGCGGGCCTTGCATGGCCTGGTAACACTGCCCTGTGCAAACTTCGCAACGAAGTCTCCAATAAAAACACCGATTCAAAGAAGATGCAGAGTTCATCCAAGCTTCGCTTGCGCAGTTTGTTCCGGCAAACGCACCAAGCAGAAAACGAATTCTCCAGCGGCGGAAGAGCCGAGGCGATAACTCAACCCTTGTCGCAGCCCGAGGGGTGACGTGTTATGACATGGGTCCACTGTCCAATGCATCCAAAATGATTCAAAATGCAACTCGACACAATCAAGACCCCATCGTGATCATTGTGAGTTCCAACCTGATTCATGACATTCATGCTAGTTTCGTCCCTGCCTGCATCTTTGAGCCGTCTCAACAACTCATCTGGCCGCAAAGAGGGTGACGCTTCAGGGCTTTCATCTGGATCTTCCAACGTCCAGGAGGAAATGTCCTGACGTTTCTTGACAGCTTAAGCTTGACCAAACTCTTCACCATTGGACCATGCCACTTATGGACTTCTGGAAACTCTCAAAGATGCTTGGATTATCTCAACCCTGAAGCCTTAGAAGGTAGAAAACGGTTACAACTGCAAGATCTGAGTGCATTGAAGTTATAAACATCTACGGTAACTATGCAATCTCAGTATGTAGAGATCTGTACGAGTACTGTTCTCCGCGCCTGCGCTGCTTTGATCTTCAATTGTTGGACCTGCGAGTGTTGCACGTTCTGTGCTGCAACATGAGCGAAATGATGGAAAATCCAAACGGCCACAGAAAAGATTAATAACATATTTGCAATATTAATAACTAATGCTCAGATCTAATGAGCCCGGCATATGTTACCTAGTATATGTATACATATATGTCATATTCACAAAAACCTTTCCCGGCATTTGAATGGGAGCCTTAGATATTTCTGTCAGCAAGAACCACGGATGAGTCTTAGATCAGCAATGCTCAGTGCCTCTGTCAAATGCCCCAGTCCGGGAGACACAAACTGTCAGCTTCAAAATTGGCAAGGTGCATTTGTTACAGGATCTCTGGCTTCGAAGACCAAAACCAAAGTTGCGCCACAGTCCTTAGCTGTTTCAACAGCGCCTCACAGTATGCAAACTGGCAGGCAAAGATGCTCAAACAAAGAGACGGGTGAGACGGGTGAAACAACATAATTACATACAATATATTACAATAGTACCATATATATAATATTATTAATATATTATACCTGAGAAGGGGTGGAGCGAAAGCCAGCGCTTGCTTTTTGACTCGCGCGGGGGCGCGTGAAACTCCACCTCATCCATATGGCATGGCTCAAACATGAAGCGCCCCAACATCAACAATTGCTATCGGGTCATAATTTTCCAATCATTAAATGGACCTTTTTAGGGTAAACTCCACGATTTTGTAACTTCTATATCCAAATATGTTTCCTACAATGTACTGCGGCATTGTGAAAAGTTCTATCTCAAGTTCCGTAAATCCGCCTTTGGTTGCTCATTTATCTTAAAACAGCGCAAGTTTGCTCCCACCTATTGTAGATAAATAATACCCGCTTTTTTGTGTGAACAGTGGTCATGTGACCTCTCAAAGTCTAAATTGTTTTCTCCCCAGCGTGGTCCATGCTTCTCCGCGAAGTTCCGCAACATTTTGGCCGTACGGTGAGAAATCAAAACATAGCTCTACTCGCAAAATGGGCAGTGCAAACCCAAGACAATATTATAACATACGTAAGAAAGGGTATAAGAACGAATGAAAATCGAGGAAAACAATGCAAAACCCACGGGAAATACAGAAGAGTGGCGAACATGCAGTCCAAATCAAAAGTATATATATTTTAGGCCATTTACAGACCTGGGTACCCCCCCCCACCCCCCAAGGGTCTGGAAAATAGGTATTTTACAGGAAATGTCGCGGAATAGCATCATCCCTGACATCGATAGAGATAATTGTTTGGCATCCCGGAAAATCTTCTCAGCTATCACACTCGCCAAACATCCCTTTTAAAAGGCACACATACTATCACGGACGTACAGATGCATATCATTCCCGTCATTGCCATTAGAAGATTCAAATTCTTTCTCGATGTTTTAGTACAAGATTCACTTTTAGTTCTGTTTCAGCCTTCTCAGTACGGCCTCTTACAATGATATTACAGCATTTGTCTCCTAACCTAGGTGGCTCCTGGGCGCAATCTTCATTCCAATGCTTTGAGACAATAACCAGAGGCCTGGAGCCTATGCATCACTTGACAGTCGACCCAGTTCTAAACCGGAAAGACTATTCCTTCCGTTTACCAGTAGATCGTTTTTGTAGTTCTTATCACATACCAGAATCAGGGAGGCACCAAAAAACGTCAAACAGCTTTAAGCATTATAAATACTCTAATCTGCAGATTGTATTTATTTTTCTTACTCTGTGAACGAAATCACGCTTTTCTAACTTCACACAGATTACCATGAAAACAATTTTCCCATGCAACTCCTAAAATCTTACAACTCATACAATTTTTTCCTATACCATCCGCATCTTGCTCCAAGGTTTCATGGCAATGTCTTGTACGCGAGTCAGCCACTATTTCCTATCACCAAACTACATTGCTCATCATCTAACATTATCTACAGAAACCAAATCGGATTTCCTGCTCAACGTTTCCGCTCGTTGACATTGTCTTGGTTTTCACTATATTTTTAAAGCATTTTTAGTTATAACATTTTCCTAGGTTTTCACTGTATTTTTCTAACCTGTTACATGCCTCCTAGCATGTTCACGCGTGTCCTCCATGTTGTACTGTTTTCTACATCGTTTCCTCTAGTTGTTACAAGCATTTCCTAGCTTGTACACCGTTTCCTAATATTGTCACAACTTTTCTTCCAGTTTCCACTGCTTTTTCTACCGTTTCCTGTGGTTACTTTCTTCTCTTTTGTAGGTTTTCACTGTGTTTTGTCCAGCTTTTTTTATTACATGCTTCCTACCATTTTCACCGCTTTCCTCTATGGCTTTTTGTACCATTTCCTCTCGTTTCCTGCATTTCATGCATTTTCAATATATTTTTCCAAGAGTTTTACCCGTCTCCTTCAGTTTCCGATCGTTTTTGCACCATTTCCTCTGGTTGTTATCGCATTTTCCTGCACTTTCATTGTATTTTTCCAGCATGTTTACTGCATCGTCATAGTTTGTTCCTAGCAGTCGCTCCGGTTTCCTCCATGTTCCAACAGATTTTGCACCCTTTATTCTGGTTGTTATCACATTTTCCTGCCAGGTTGTTATCACATTTTCCTTCACTGTATCTTTCCAGCATTTTCCAGTGGATTTTGCACGATTTCCTCTGATTGTTATCATGTTTTCCTGCAGTTTCTATATCCTCTTCGTGGGTTTTCAGTCTATTCATGCATTTTTAATCTATTTTTCCAAGATTTTTACCCGTCTCCTTTTTGCACCATTTCCTCTGGTTTGCTGCATTTTCAATGTATTTTTCCAAGAGTTTTACCCGTCTCCTTCATTTTCCGATCGTTTTTGCACCATTTCCTCTGGTTGTTATCGCATTTTCCTGCACTTTCACTGTCTTTTTCCACATGTTTACTGCATCGTCATAGTTTGTTCCTAGCAGTCACTCCGGTTTCCTCCATGTTCCAACAGATTTTGCATGGTTTGTTCCTAGCATTTTCCTCTGATCGTTATCATGTCTTCCTCAAGTTTCATTGTATTTTCCAATACATCCTCTTCGTGGGTTTTCAATATGTTTTGTCCAGCATTTTTTTTTACTACATGTTTCCTATCATTTTCACCTCTTTCCTCCATAGGTTTTTGCACCATTTCCTCTGGTTTCCTGCATTTTCATACCTTTTCAATATTAATATTAATCCAAGAGTTTTACCTGTCTCCTTCATTTTCCGATCCTTTTTGCACCATTTCCTCTCGTTGTTATCACATTTTCCTGCACTTTCACTGTATTTTTCCAGCATGTTTACTGCATCGTCATGGTTTGCGCCTAGCATTCGCTCCGGTTTCCTCCATTTTCCAAGGGATTTTCCATGGTTTGTTCCTAGCATTCGCTCCGTTTTCGTCCGTTTTCCAGGGGATTTTGTACGATTTCCTCTGATCGTTATCATGTTTTCCTGCAGTTTCATTGTATTTTCCAATACATCCTCATGGTCTCTCCGGCCACCAAAAAGGCGGACCTAGGGGGAATCGATACCCCACCGTCAGCAAATTACCTAGTGGTACATAATCCAGCAAAATGCTCCGTTTTCTCGCGCTCAACACAGGGGCACGGCGAGATTTCGTTCCCTTTCGGCAACCACCCCCCCCACACGCCCTATTCTCACTTCGTTCGCAAACAGCAAGCTTTCGTAATATATATGGTACTATTGTATATATATATATTCATATATGACAAAAATGACAGAGCTGTGGGTGTAACTCGTTGAAACTCGGTGCTTCGACAGCTTCGACAGCTTCGACAGATATGATGTGCCAGGGCACTCCGTCGCTTTGAGCAGCTACCTGTTCGTTCGAACGAACAGTTTGCACTGCATTGCACTGCTGTACAAGCTTGTGATTGGCTTGAGTTGCGTTAGTTGCGTTGGAAACCAGACCACAAATGTCAACAAAAGGAAAGGTTCTGCTGTCCGCATTGCTGGTTGCAAAGTCGCTCCGGTTCAATATGGTTCAATACATGCTGTCGCTCCGGTGTGTCAAATTGGTTTTTGAATTTTGTCCCGCTCGGAAGAGCCTGTGTGGCCTGATCCGCATTCTTTGAAGGCTCTATGAAGGACACCTGGAGTGTGGGAGTCACTGATCCACAGACGAAGACTCAGTGTGAGGGTGCTAAATTCAAAAAACAGAACTCTACAATAAAGATAAATAAATGATAAATGATGATAAATGAAGACCATGGAGCTCTGGTATTTCCTGGGCTTCCGGACTCTCGCACGCCGAAGGAGCCGCTGGGGACAGCGAACCGCCAAGAGCGCAAGGACCACGAGGCCAACCAAGAGACCGCCTCAGAGAAGAACAAAAAAAAAAATCAAGATGAATCAAGATGAATCAATTGCCTGGCCTAGTTCTGCCTTAAAATCCTTGCGATCGCTGTATCCCCGTGTTCCATGTTAAAAATTGAGCACTGTCACAATGAATCATTGCACCATTGTCATTGCAGTTGCCCTAACCCTGCCCAGGCTTGTAGGACAGGATTGTTTCGCCTTTGACCTTTTCCGTCTCAAAACGTTTCCAGGGCACGTGGGGCAAAGATAAAGAATGTCACCGCTGCTCCTGCTCTACAGTACGTGCTGTGCCATCTTTTGCAAAGAAAGGTTTTTGCCTCATACTTGGATAGAATCTCTCAATGCCACCTCTTCAATTCCTCAATTTTTGAATTCAAAACAAGTCAAACAAATTGAACAAAACAAAATAAACAAAACATGTTTTTTTCATTCCACATCCGGAACAGAACAAACAGTGTCCCCTCCTAGCAGCAACCATCGCTGGTGATCGCCTTTGCGCACCATGGCCAGCTAGGCCAGCTACCAGCTACCAGCTCCAAGCCAAGCACCATCCAACTCGCTCCAGCGAAGCGTGGAAGCTTTCTGGCTGAGCTTTTCAGCCATTTTTGTGCTGAGAATTGCTGAGAGATGCGTATCAGCTTGCCCTCCCACAATTCCAAATGACAAACAAAATATAACAAAATGACTGGCAGATTTGAAATCTATTTCAACGTTGTGTATCGCTCTGTGCTTTCTATTTGCCACTTGAATAGGGCCTTGTTGGTATCAATATCTTGGAAACAAAATCATTCCATCATTGCAAGCAGTATGCAAGAAGTCTGCAGGCCATAGATCTTCTGCCTTCATGTCTCGTAAGCCGTTTTATGTCAATTGGGCCAAGCTCAGCTTGCAGTGAAGCAGCGGTGCTTCACGCTAGACTGACAAGCAGACCGTGTCGTGAAGGATGCGAGTAAAAAGGTATTTGAGGGTGAAGAACTACTTGAATCAAAGCATTCAAAGCACCCAAGACATCACCTTGATATAACTTAATCAATCCTTAATCACTTCCAACTCCTTTACACAGGCCATGATGGCCATGGGAATTCATCGGGCCAGGAGCGCCGCGAAGTCGCGAAGCCAAGCAACCAGGTGTGGGACAAGTGGTGCACCCAGCCAGCGTAAGACACAAACGATTTTGCCTCGGCCCAACGAGGTGATGGCTGGAAGTCGCCAGAACTCACCAACTTCCCCACAGTGAGCATCTTTTGTTCAAGGTGCAATCAAAGACTCTGAGTGAAAACTGCCTGCATCATCATCCTTCAAAGCAGCATTTCAATATATTCAAGCCATATATTTATCAGATTTTAAAAGTATATTTATAAGTATATTTAAGTCATTTGTTGCAAAGGCGCCAAAATCACCATTCGGGTCTGGCGCATCCAAGGTTTGTATGACCTGGTCGTGCAGCGCCGCCCTCAGCGAGGTGGCCGTGCCGGTGGCCGTGGTGGCCGTGGTGGCGCTGACACCGTCCAAGTCTTCACGCAGAAAGTACAACACGTCCTGGCGACGCAACGAAATCCTGGAGATATTTCTCAAATTCAACTACTAAGTTACTAAGTACTAAATTACTATTAACTACTTCATCTAAATTCATCCAAATTCCACATTCTCCAACGTAGTTTTCATGTTTTTACCTTATTTCCATCTTCTCCACGTTCCATGTTCTTTCGTGATGGGAGACTGGCACAAATGGTGATTGCCTCTGCTCTCCAGCTGGAACTGGCCTACAGGTCGGGATTGGTGACAGCAAGAAACCAGATACCGAAAAAATGAGACGCCCATATGACGACATGATGCGACACACATCGACATACAACATGAATCAACATGAATCAACATGACAGATGACTTAACATGACAATGGGTGTCTTAACATTGTGGACATAGTGTGACAATATGTGACAATGTCATGTTTTTGAGTGACAATGTGTTGACTCCGCTCAGCTCTGTCCCTCTCTTCAGCTCCACATGGGCGGCACCTCGACATCTTCGAAGAGGCGTTGCACCAGTTGCAGACTTTGTTCCGCGGTCATGGCTTCCGCTGCTTCCACTGCCGCACCTCTGTGCAATTCCGGTGCTCACATTCTCACAGCGGTGACAACATGTGACAACATGTGACAACTGTGACTAAGAAGCGATGATGGCAATGATGGCAATGATGGCAATGATCATCATCCATTAGAAGCTTTATTACAACGGTACAGACCAGACGACATCACCAGCTGAATGTTACTGATAATCCCGAGTGGGCCACGTTGCCGTGCTGTCGCACCTGAAAATCGATTCGCGTCAAAGCGCAACCCGAAATCTGGGTGAAATCATGCACCATAAATCAGGGAACGCCTTGCAAAATCTGCGCCTGGCTCTGGTGCAGCTCTCAAGATTGGCTTGCGTACACGGACCTCCTGGTGCAAAGACTGACCTGAAAGAACCTCCAAACCACCCGCCGTTTGAAATAGTGCCAAAAAAATCAATGTGAAGCGAAGATGGCTCTCCCTGAAATGCTCGGCTCTATTGACATGTATTTTAGACTCAGACCACTCTGCTTTGCTGTCCTAGGATTTTCTAATTTTTGCGCTGTCAGAAAACGAACGCTCAACCAAACTGTTGAACCACAGTGCGAAGTCCTGCGAAGAGGCGTCGAAGAAATATACAACGGGAGGACGGGTTTTGCAGCACTCCTGGATCAACTGAAAGTTGCAATGGTTTGCGCCCGATGGACACCATAATTTATGGTTCCTGTCCGAGACATTTCCGTCTGAAAAACACCGAGTATTCTTCTGGGTTTTCGTCAACTTGGTCAACTAGCTTTGCACGTTTTGAGGCAGCATTATGATTTAACGGCTAGTTGTTTTACATTTTTTGAAATCAGTTGCATGAGAGGGATAGCGTTGGACATCTGCAGAAAAAACATGAGTGGGTAGTAGTGGATAGCAAGCTGCAATGATTTCAATGTGCAGCGCTGGCTTCATGTCGCACCTCTTCTTTTCCTTGAGGGTTTGCTTTTGCTCTCCGGCTGATGAGTAGGTCCCAAGGGTCCGGGGTCACCTGAGAAAAGACACGAAAAAACTCACACAACGTCAAACTTATTCCAGCGCCTATCCATGCTCAAAGCGGTACAAGAATGTACAAGAATGTACAAGAATGTACAAGAATGTACAAGATAGAAGATTTCCCAAATTTTCCATATCTCCGGAGGTCTCCATGCCATCTGATCATAGATCCAAGCTTCCACTAGTTGCAGCGTCACTGCATCTTCAAAGAGATCGCCAAGGATCTGCGGCGCAAGTTCTGCAAAATGGACATGGTCCCATTGAAATCTGCACAAAATCACAAAATTGCACACCCAATGAAGTCTCAACTCTGCGACTAATACAGCTCTCATATCGGGAACGTGTCTGAACACATCGTGAGATTCATGAGACATCTATCTGTCCAACACAGTCCGTTGCACGTTGCCAACACCAGGCATTACTGAACGTTGGCGTGTTGCACGTGTTGCACGTTAGTGGGCACGTTAGTGCCTCAGTGTCTGTGACTTCTCGTTCTGCGATGAGGCGTTGCCAACACGGAGCCCATGTCTTCGAACGACGCCACAAAGCTTCCTTCAGTTCCAGCACCTGAAGTCGTTGCAGTCATGACACGGGACACAGGACATCACAGGACACATGTCTTGCTACACATTGCTAAATGATTTTGTGTATCGTGCATTGATATTGACACGAGACCTTGAAGCGTCCTGTCTGTGTCAAAGGGTATGCCCATTGACGAAGCTCGGCAGGTATCGAATTCTGGCGAGATGCTGACTGAGTCGCTGGAACCAGACTTTCCAAGACCACCTGGTGACTCGACAAATTCGAAAAGCTCCAAGGGGAGACAGTTTTACATTCAAGAATCATCTGCAGCAAAGGACTCACCCTCTTCGGCTGCATTTGATTCCAATCTAATGAACACATTTCATTACATTCTCATGAATCGTGCATAGAATAGTCATTGTCAATGTGTTACTTTTTGACTTGTTTGACACTTTTGAAACCGAAAGGGTTTCGTTTCGTTTTCAGCCTCGCCGTCCAATGCAATTACTTGGACTGTAAGCATAGGCGCTGCCATGATCGCACCGAGGGGCAAGGAACAAGTAGAGCTATGAACAGCATGGCACGTAGATTCATCATGGGTATGGCAGCACTTTGGCTTTCAAGCTTTGAAGTACTTGCGTCTTTACAATTATACATATTGAACTGACTGTGTTTTCAAGTTGGTTCTTCTGGGACTCTTCTTTCCTTCAGGGAAACCAGTGTGGTCCCAGTCATCATCAACCTGACGTTGCAAACTTGCCACATTTTGCGTGTGGCATCAACAAATTGTCAAATGAAGCCCTTGGAAGTAGATGAAAGTAGGCAGGAACAAATTGTAAAGGGAAAGAGTTGCTTCATACACGGAGCGTTTAGCATCAGCTTGAGCAAAGCCCAAAGCGGCTTCCCGTCCCACTGGACCCTGTCGCCTGGCAATGGTCTGAAAACACGTCTTTCACATCAAACTTACAGTCCACTAACATGGATATTTTCCTCCATAAGTCGAATCTAGATAAATAATAAATATAGTTTGAAAAAGGTGCTGCGAGTTAGTTTCACCTGTGGAAGAACCTGAATAACACTACTTATCACTAATCATATGTCTTTCACAGGCTGAGTTGCGTACTAGTGCCTGGTAGCAAACGCCCATTGCAGCGGCGTCAAACAAAACCCACAAATGCTTCCGTCAAAGATTTGGTTTGATAGCTGCCTAGTAGCTGCATTAAAGCACAAAGCAATAGCAAACATAGCAACGGCAGCATCCAATTCGTATCAATTCGTATTCAGTTCATTTCGTGTGAGGAACGCGCCTGGTTGGGAATGAGCTTGACCACCAATCCCAGAGCTGCCAAAGTATTCATCCACCTCCCCAGTCTGGCCCAGTGCCCAAGGACTTTGATGGACTTTAAATACCCGATAAGCTAAGTCTCAGCATGTTTGCAAGTTTGCTTGAAGTCTGCGCCCAACTGTCGGTTCTGGAGACTTGAACATGCCTAAACACGCTTTAACTTAAACGATTTGGTTGAAAAACATGCCAAGATATAACGAGTTTTGCCAAGTTGCCAAAGATCTGGTAGCGGCACAAGAGCTCGATCGAGACCTCAACGTTCTTTGGGAAGGCCCAAGGTCCCAAACGCAACTCAGCGGTGAAGCCATGTTGTGTAGGAAGGCTAGAGCGGCTATGAGCGGCTAGAGTTACAAGTTATACAAGTTATACAAGTTATACAAGTTGTTTTCTCCCCATCTGTTTTCGATTGTTTTCGAACACTTAAGATACTGTTCTTCCTGCCTTTTCTGGCAACTTCATGGGAACTACCAGAAAAGGTCTAAGAGTCTAACATCTGGAAATTTCCACGACGCTCAAAAGCTTAGTTGCAATCAAGGGATGCTACATTTGGGCAAAGCAACCGGGAAGGATGGTAACCTGGTAAGGATCGAAGCATTTTGAAATCGGTGCCCAGATGCCAATGTTGCGCACGGCACTAGGCTGCGCAGCATCACCGAAGAGAAGGTACCTGCCCACAATGTGTCAGAATCCAAAGCATCCGAAACGGGTCTCTATGAACCGGATTGAACAAGGTTGAACAGGTCATGAAAAAGGCACAACATTCGAGGTGCGCAGTCCAGTGCACAACCGAAAAACCTTCATAAACCTTCCAAAGTCTTCAATTGCTGAAGACAAGACAATGTACAAATATGTACACATTATATGACAGAAAAAGGCAGGCGTGGCCATAACATCCCACACTATCCCACAGAATTTCAACATGGCTCACCCAGGAACTGCGATGAGAAGATATACAACGCAGGCACCGCTATAGGCCTGAAGGCGAAAGTATTGGCTTCAGCACAATGTCTCATATCAGATTCATATTAACTTTTCACGGCGCTGCGCAAAACTCAGCTTGACAAGTTGACATTAGGTTCATGTCCTGACATCCGGAAGCAAGTTTACAATCGTTTACAACCTCCGAAAATCTGACCGTTTGGCGTACCCTTTTGATGCAGCTTGGGAATTTCGATGGCTCCTCCCCAAGTTGCACACGAAATGCTGACACCATGAGAACAAGGGATTGTGAGGAGTATGTGAAGGTATGCTCTAAATCATCCTGCGAAGGGTGTAAAGTGTAGAACCAACAAGCATGCAGGCATCGAAGTACTTGTCAAAGCCAGCTTCAATTCGATATGGAATTGCCCATGTTCATGTCTTTGCGTGTTCCAAAAGAAGCAAGAAACATGAAACACATGACACATTCTTTCAATGTTCGCGAAACAAGTCCAAAGTACAGTACAAAGATGTGTAAAGGGATGTAAAGGGATGTAAAGGGTATTGTTTTGAAGCAACTCTCCTCCATCTGCTGTATGAGCCGTGGGTAGAAGGAATGACCTGCGGGGTCAACTTGCCGAACTCAAAATGCCAGACAAACTTAGCAGACGCGGCCTGCGGGGCTAAAGATCAAAATGCCCGCAGCAGCCAAGAGGCCGTGCCTTAGTGCGGTGCGTCCACTCCAAGGTGCCACTGCCATTCACTGCCACAGTTGCACATGTTGCACAGATTTGACATGGCGAACAATCACGTACTTACTGTACTTACAGTACTTATCTGCATTTTGTCGTCCTATGTCGATTTTTGTTGTGTTTGTCCTGTTTCTCTGAAGGACTGTACCACGCAGTGTGGGCTCGTGTGTATGGCATGGCTAGAGTGAGGCCTTTCTTTCGCTTCTCCGGCTTCTCTCGGGATCCCGTGCGGCTTCACTGTCTGGATTTCAGACGGCGGAGCCTCGCAAAACTTCAGCGTCAGCTACGTGCCAGCTGTAAAGCATTGCAAATGAGCCTTGCTCTCATTGCTTAATTTGAGAAACAAATTGAAGGACAATTGGAAAAACTCGCTGGTAGTCTGCTGCAGCCCTGGGGCGTGTTCCCTGTACCATGCCTTCTGCGGCAGAAGAATGCCCGTCGCA